GGAGCTGGTCAAGGTGGCCTGACACGGGGGCCGTTCCCCTCCCCGCGGCGGGCGTCACCTCTGCAGAGAGAAGGGCTCGGGCAAACGCAGGACAGACTCCTTAGCTCAGTGAAGAAGCGAAGCTCTGGAACCCCTGGGTTGAGATTTTCTGTTTTAACTTTCAATCAGAGCTACAGCAGCAGCTGGATGAAGTCACATCAAAGGTCCAGGTTCTCCAGGATGAGCTCGGCGTCCTGCGGCCCTACATCGACGGGCAGTATCCAGAACAAGCTGTCCAGATAGTCCTTCTGCAGCGCAGCATCCAGAACCTGAAGGAGCAACAGCAGGTGCTGAGACCTTTCCTTCCCTGCAGCGTTGCCAGGGAGGAAGGAGAGGGCAGGGGAGGCCGGAACGCAATGGTTATCCTGCCTAACGCTCCTCTTGTTTCTGCTTCCTGCCGTTCTCAGGAGGAGACAGACAAGACAGAAAAAATGGGGAAGGCCGTCTTGGAGGAATTGGAAAAGAAGGCACGGGCGGAACAGGAGGCGCTGCTACAGAAAGTCGTGGAGGTTTGTGGCGTTCGTGTGACGTCCCAGCAAGGGGGATCGGTTTCTGGGAGCTGGGAGACAAGGCAGGGGCTCCCACACGTTGCCCTTTAGCAACAGCGTGGTGCAGCCAGCGCCCAAAGAGTAACAGAGCATCTCTGCTCCCCTCCTGATGCCGTGCTGGAGCTGTTTGTCCGTGCTGGAGCTGTTTGTCAGGCTGGGAGGGTACGTGAGAAGCGCTTCTGAGTCGCTGCGGTGGTCTGATGTGTTGAAATAGTCTCAGACTCCTGAGTGTTTGCCGCATGGAGGTGAGCGCTCTGTGACCCAACGTTCACCCTGCTTTTATGGTCCCTGTTTTATTACATTATTTAGGTAGCTGCTTCGCTAATTGGCCATGACACCGCTGTGGCAGCGCACATATGTTTGTAATAAATTTATGAGGAAATTAAACTATATGCAGCAGTACAGAGCAGGGACTGCTGTCGTTCTTCCCAAAATAGGAGGAACTCCTGTTGCACAGTTCCTGCTCGCCTGATGTGCTTAGCGCTTTTCCTGGGTTAGCAGCTTGAGAGCACTAAGAAAATATTAATTATTGACTCCATTTACAGCCTGCTCTGATGCAGAACTGCTGTGCCCTTTTACAGGGGAACTTGTAAGCACAGGCAAAATCGGTTACCCAAGCAATATTAATAAGCTTTCGCTGGGAAACTGAACTGGATCTCTTGAGTTCCTCGGTCCTGTTCCGTGATCAGCACAATGTGAGCTCAACGACAGCCTCTTTCTAGAGCTGGAACCCGAACCTTGTTAGAGCAGAAATCATTTTCTTGAAGAGCGACGCATCCGGCGACGGCCGGCATTGGCACCCGGCGGCGGCAGGGTTTCATGCTGCAGGTCACCGTGGAGTTTCTTCAGCTGGTTTTCTTCTCTTCACCCACGCAGGAGACATTGCTGCACCAGGATGGCCTGAAGCAGATGGTGATAAACAACCACATCCTGCGACATGAAATACTGAGGCAAAGGGAGGTGAGCGAGCTGGGGGAGAACCCGCGCTGTGCAGCCACCCTCGGCCCTTGCCCTTTGGGAGGATTGTGTCCGCCTCAGTGGGGTCGTTGCCTTCCGTTTCCACTGGAGTCGGTGGGCTGCTAGGGCATCCTGAGGGGGAGCAGCCCAGCAGGGGTTTCAGGAAGCCTGCTAGGGGCTTACTTGCACGAAGGAAGTTTTCTAGCTCTGCTGTTTGCAAAATCTCTAAAACTTTAATTCCCGCTTCTCTTGCAAAGTAAAGAACTCTCAGAAATGTCATTCCTTCAGATTATTAAGGACCTGGAAGAGGAGATTGGTGAGCTGAAGAGAAGCATCCAGACACTCCGCCAGCGTGCAGGAGACCCAAGAGAGCTGATCTTTGCTGACGTTCTTCTCCGCAGACCAAAGTAAGGCTGGTCAGTGGGCGTGCGCAGCCCTTTCTCTGTGGCCTTGGCTGGCAGAGTCTGGCACCGAGGGCTAATAACCTTACCCCATCGTTTCCACAGACGTCACTGTTAAACTTACACCCAGCCGGGGTGTAAACCCACAGTGACGCTGGGCTCCGCTTGGGAAGACAGCGGCAGGGTCTCGCGGCCTTGCCCGAGAGCGGCGAGGAACCAGCCGCAGCTCGTACTGATGTGCTGCAGCCTTGGTCGCGTCCCATCTCTCTTCTGGGCTTCCCTTTGTGCAGCCTGCAAGCGGAGATTATCAGTGGCCGCAGCCAGGGCCAGCCAGGGCCAGCAGAGCTTTTCTAGGCCTTTGTGCCCACGCTGACTCTTACTTTCTTGTTGTTTTCACTTTGTAGTTGGGAAACAAAAGTGAGGGAAGGGGGCAGGCTGGCGAGGAGCGTCCCTCTCAGGGCAGGTCCTGCCCGTCGGGAGCTGCCTTGCTGGCTGTGTGCAATGGCACCGGCGCCCTGCGAGAGCAAAGATGGGCAGCCGTTTCCCTCCTACGTAAAAAAATGCGTTGGTGACATCGGCTGGCAGCAAAAAGGCAAAACTTTTGCTATCTTTCTCACTGCTCCTTCCGGGCCCCAGTTCACTGGTAGCTAATTACTTCCCGAGGGGAGGTTGTGGGTAATCCCCACTCCTGCTTACCAGTGGGTGCTGTGCTGATGCTGGATATAAGAATGACAAAGCGTAAGGCGAATCCTCGCTTAGCGCTGGTGGGGAGAAGGCCCCGCCAGCTCCAGCACAGGAATACTGGGCTCTCCTCTCCAGGGACAGACCCAGACTGGCCGAGTCTGTGGGCTGAAGCACGTCAGCAGCCAGCTGCGGCACGCTGTTTTCCACCCTCCCCACGGCAGGCCGAAGGCGTAACGCTGCCCCTTGTCCCGTGGCAGCGGGGTCCTGCCCAGGACAGGACAAATCACAAAAATCATCAGTGATTTAGAGCTGCCAAGGTGCCTCGGCTTTCTCTGCTGGCCGCTGACGAGGGCTACAAACCTGAGAAAACAAATGGGTCCAATGTGTTTAAATCTCGAGTATGCCGTAGTCCGAAGCCTGTAGTTGTGTGCAGAACCGCGTGCATGTGCGCGTGTATTTACACCAGCTGCCTATACAAATTGTTCTTGGCCCAGAGACGTCTGTTAACGGAGCCGTTCCTTTCCAGCGGGTCCCGCAGGTGCAGGCCAGCCCCTCCGCGCCTCGCACGGGGGTTATTTTGCATGGAAATATCCTCCCTCGGGATGAGCAGACGCTCGCCCAGCAAACCGGCGGTGGTGCGGGCGATGAGAGGGGCTGGATCTCCCGCTCCAGGGCCTGGCTTTCAGCTGGAAGCCAGGTAGGGCTGCAGCGCTGCGGAGGCACGAGCCAAAGCAGGAGGAAAGCCTGGAACGCATCGGGAGACCGTGGGGGGAGATGAGCGGCTGCGTGACGGATTAGCGCAGCTTAATTTTTTTTTTCCGATAAAAAAATGATAAAAAAAGGGACTTAATTAGCCTCGACAGCTGGGGGGGCTGGGGTTACTGAGGGTGGCTGGGAGAAGAGTTAAAAATAGCAGGAAGGCCTAAGTGGAAAGTTTCTGTAACATCACAAGTCAGGCATTTGGTGCTTACCCGCCCTGACAGGCGGGAGCCCGTGCCAGAGCCCTCTCCGCCATCCCTCAGCCCTTTCCCACTGACCTCCCTGCAACTTTTCGCACGACTTCACCAGCCCTTCGTTTCTGCTAATTAACCCTTTGGTTCCAGACACTGGATTTGCTTCTTGAAAGAGGAAAATCGGACACGAGCTGTGCTCAGCCTGGACGCGTAAGGGTGCGTAGGCGCCCAGGACTCTTGCTGGCCCTCCTTGGGTCCCGGCATGCCGCTGGCAGCGCGTGGAGCCCGGAGGAGCTGTAACCCCCTGTGTATCCATTCCCATCTGCATTTCGGTTTCTCCTCATTGAAAATCCTTTCGCTTCAAGGGGCCCTGGGTGGATTTCGCCAGCAGCTTCAAGCCCCGCGCTGCAGGCGCTCTGGACGCACAGTTTGTCCTGGGCTGAGACGGAGATGGATGAGCGCAGCTCGGAGCAAGCCCAGCTCGCTGCGCTTGTCCTCCCTCTGCGAGAAAGCAGATGTACCCGGCTGCTCCGACGGGCTTTCTCCGCTTCTGTTTGTCTTTCGGGATTGACAGTGAGGGGCAGCTAATTTCATTCCTTCTCTTTCTTCGAGCTCACATCTGGCTCTGCCGCTCGGGGAAGGCCAGCGAGCACCGAGCCTGCCTTGCGGCGGGCTCAGCCGCAAGCGCGGTCTAAGACAGGGCCGCGAGCCCGGCTCAGGCTTGGAGCTGGTTTCTTTTGTAGGGTTAGCGGCTGGGGCAGACCCTGAAGGGTGAGCCGAAAAGCAAAATGGTGCTGGGGTGAGCTGGAGGCCGGGCCGGGCTCTGGTTCATGCTGAACAGGGGCTGTGCACAGCAACCCTCACCTGGTTTTAAAGGGTTTTTCCCCCTGCTTCCCCACCTTGCTGTGTCCTGCGTCCCAGAACAAGTGTCTGGTCCCTCCCTGCTGAAAACCAGTCCCAGGCCCTGGGGACAGGGGGTGGCACAGCGGACACAAGGCAGGCCTCCCTCCACCCGCCCCATGCCCACCGACGGCGGGGCTGCCGCGCAGGGGACGGGACGCCTCTGAGCTCTGGGTGGGCTGCACACAGCGTCCGAGCAGTCACCCACCTCCCGCCCCGGCCGCAGGAGCTTCTCCTCCTCCTCCTCCTCACACCCAACCAGCCGAAGCAGGGCGGCTTATTCCTTGCTTTGCCCCTCCTGACTCTCCTCTCTCCCCGTTTCAGGTGCACGCCGGATTCCGAGGTGGTCCTCAGCCCCCCCGCCGCAGAGACGCCGCTCACCTGACACTGGGCCGGGCTCCGCTCGCAGGCCCCTCGCCCAGCGCACGGCTCGGCAGAGGCGCCGAGCTGCAAAGCCCCTCCTTTGCCGTCGGCACTTCGCCATCCCGGCCCCGCTCAGCCGCCGTGGGGACTCGTGGATGCGGTTGTATGGCGCGGTAAAGGCGTTGCCGTCCTTCGTGGGCTGTGCCGCGCTCACCGGCTGCTCTCCACAAGGCTCTGCCAGCGCATCCCAGCGTGGGCTGGACTGGTGCCCAGACCGGTGCCGGCGCAGGGCCGGTGCTCGGGCAGTTTGGTGCCGGTGCCAGTGCCAGTGGTGCCGCAGCGCCCGTGGGTCCGGGCCAGCCGGC